TTATAATTAGTTTTTTATTTCAAAAATTTGATTGAATTTTTTTTAAACCACTTTTCAGAGTTAGTTACGTGATGAGCATTTAGAACAGGTTAATAATACCCGGAGGCTTAAATAGGAAAATTTATTATGCCTAGTAAGTAACATTACACGGATCTTTTAAAGTGGGGTACGGTCAAAGGGTGATATTATATGCAGTGCTAAAAGGTAGGTTAGTTGTTAGTGTAACACAAAAATAACATACCCGAAAAATTACCGATCGGTCAAAGAAAAATTATCACGAGATGAAAACAATCCATACTACGTCTTTCCAAACCGTATCCAACGGGGTCAACGACACTTACTATATTTTATGCATAGTATTATTTTTGAACGCTAACAATTAACTTGCAACTTTATTATTACGTATTATGTATTAAAAGCGTCTTGCTTAGAATAAAAATATTAAAAACTTCTTAATCAGGACAACTAAGTGTTTTGTCAAATGAATTTAATAAGGCATCAATAACAAATTAAATTGTTCTATTTATTTCAATTCTAATAAAAATGATAAAATATAAAAAAAAAATTAAAATAAAAGTAAAGTTATCGAGGAATAGGAAGCGCAGATGCATCTTTAGGTGGTGACTCATCGCCAACTAGGGCCATTGCACAGCCTAGATAATCTAAATTTTCTGATTTAATATAAACCATGATTCCATAAGAATCAGATAAGACGGATGGTGTATAAACGTTCAAGGATATTTTAAATGGAGTTTTAGCTTTATATTGACACCCTTTACAAAGCTGGAATAAAATAGGATCGTCCAAGTCTTTTCCAAAATATTCAACATATATGTTAGCTGTATCTGTGAAATCCGAGTCTAAAGTTCCGCTAACATCAAAAATATCGTATTGTCCTGGGACGACAGGATCAGGATTAAGATTTACGGAAATTTTGATTACGTTCTCTATGTCACATGAACCAAAGATTGTAGGAATTGCATTGACCATTGAAAGCGTAGCCAATAAAATGAATGCAAAAATAAAACTTGGATGCATTTCTTTGCAAAGGTAATTAATTAATAGTAAGTTTTTTCTTTATGAATGCAATTAATTACGTTGAATTCAGCGTAAATTGACATTATAGCCTTTTTATAATGAAAGTAATTTCTTATTCCAATTCAATAATCCTTTTAAATTATTTTGAACATGTAATAATAAATGATTTTCCATAGTGTCTTAGTAATGTCCAAATATGGCTTATTCTCTTTATGGGATCGCTGCGTCGATTAAATAATCATGATACTTTTTTGGAATTTTGACAATTTTTTAAAATAAAAAGAAATTTTATTGAAATTAGAGGTCTGAATCGGTCAAAAATTTTGTATTCGATTAATTAATTCATAAAATTTATGATTAATGACGATCATTGAAAGAATTAAATTGTCGATTTATGTATAATAACGTATGCTAAAAAAACTATATTTCAAATTTTTAATGGTAATGCATCTACAATTATTTTTGATTTTTTTTTTTTTTATTATTTATCATTAATTTTTTTTTTTGAAAAATATGGTTGAAAGTACAAATAAAAAAGATATCTTTTTGTCAACAACTATATATACTAAATGATATTCAAATTTAACAGCTGATATAATTTTAATTAATTCTATTTCGCATAATTGAATATCGCGAAAATAAAAATAATAAATTAACTAACTACCCGCTAGAAAAGTTTATTTGGATATTTATTAATTGATCTCCTTAGAAAAATAATGACAAGCCCAGGGTAAAATTATAAAATTTTTTTATCTTAAGCTTAAGGAAAAAAGGGGAAAAGGCTACAAAAAGAGAAAATTAACTAGATTCTATTTTAGACATATAAGTGAAAACTACCTAAAATATCTCTACCATGCTCCTGACGCAAAAACTGTTGATGTCTGACTTCTAAAATATTATTATTCGACGACCAAAAATTTAAAATCTAAACTAAAGTAGCGATTTGATTTCTTGAAAACTTTTACAGTTAGCTATTTTAAACTTTATTATATAATAAAATAATGTAAATATTAAAAACAAGATCGTCTACATCATATGGGCGATCACAATAACTTATAATAATTATTATTATACATTTATTTATTTATGTATTTATTTATTTTTTAAAGAAAATAAATTAAAGAAGCTGATAAATTAATTTTTTGAACTTTATTTCTACTTAATAATAAAAGCGGATATAATTGAATTTTTTATTAATTTATTTTATAAAAAAAATAATTGTTGGATAAAAATAACACTGCTTCTTCTACTCAAAAGACGAAAAATTTTCTTAAATGGCAAAATTAAAAAAACTTCTTCCGCAATTTCAAAATTATTATTCTTTTATCAACATAATAAAATATGCTTTAATACTGAATCAACACGTGTTGCAAGGCTTTGTTGAATGGTTTCAGCTTCATTAGATTTTGAATATAAATTTCAATGGTAACAATTAATTTTTCATCATCTTAGTATATTGTCAAATAAACTTCTTTCAAAAAGATCATTCAATGCTTACAACTTCTAATACATGGCGAAAATTTCTGGTTAATAATTATCTATATATCCGGTAATTTACTTAATTTTTTTTATTAATAGCTTTTACAGTAAATGTCATAGGTTAGCTATTGGAGTATTGAGTTTTTAAAAATTCAGGTTCGAGATTTGTTAAGGAATCAGGTAAATTTGGTAATCTAGTTATCTGAGTATTTTCGCAGTAAAGATAAGTTAAGGAGGTTATTGGAGTTTCATAACAATAAAGTTCTGTTAATGTGTTAGGTAAAGTTGGTAAACTATTTATTTGAGTATTACTACAATTGAGTAATTTTAATTTCCGATATCTTTGCAATCCTCCTAAGTCGTTTAATATATCCTTGATAAGATCTGTAATCGTCAAACTTTTAACAGTATCATCATAAATGATGACGGATGTTTCATTATTCGACCCTATTTCTACACTCATCTGATTAGAGTTTTGAATCAATCGAGATAACTCCCCATGTAATGAATTATTCATGCTAGATTGTATTTGTTGTTCTGACAATTGAAGGTCTGATTCTTCATTATTAATTTGATCATTTTCTATTTTATTTGTTTTTGTAATGATAGCATTTAATTTACCAACTACGTTGTTAATAACCGGACGGTTGTCTGGCTCGCTGTCCCAGCATTCTAATAATATCATAAAATATTTAATTATCTAAAACATTATATTTAAATTTCAATATATATATAATATATTTACCAGTATAAATGTTTACATAGTCTTTAGGTGTATCAGGAATGATACTTTCTCTGCGTCCTTGTGTAATATCCATAACTAAACCAAAGTCGTATTGCTCGCCTTCAAAAGGAGGATGACCACTAGATATTTCCCACAAGAGCACGCCAATACTGTAAACGTCATTCTTCTCGGTTAACTTATAATGTTGCGATGTATTGTCACTTATTTCTCGAGAACCGAATCTTTTTGGAAAGAACACCAAAGATTTTTGACTGTTGATTACTCGCCGCTTCAATTCTTTTCGACAATCCAAAATCAGCAAGTTTAATAATGCCTTGACGAATTAATATATTGCCAGAATGCTATTATATATAAAATTAATCATTAATCATTACTTATTAACAGCAATAATAAACAAAAATAAGAGATATTAAGCAGGTTTACCAGATCACGATGCACTTTTCCTTCTTCATGTAAACACGACACAGCATGAGCCAACTGGTATGCAAATTTGTATTTATCTTCCCATGTCAGCTTATCAAAATTATACTTTAAATAGTTTTTAAGTGTACCACCATCAGCATATTCCATTACTAACATATATTTTTTCGGTTTATCATTTTGATTTTCTAATTTTTTTTTTTTTTTAATATTTTAAAATATAAACGAGAGTTAAAAATAAAATAAAAACAATAATGCCTTTATATATCTTTAATAGACTTTATATAACATTTTATACCTTGTTTTGAAGTTATCCCATAAAAACGGATAATATTATCATAAAAATCAACTTCACGCTGAAGTTCGAGCTAAATTATTACGAATATTAATTTTAGCTTAAAGATTTTATACTAAGCAGTCCGAATCTCATAATATATTATATTTTGTAATTTACCTCACGAACAAGTTCTTTAATAGTTACCTCGTTAAAGTTATGAAACGATTTTAGAGCAAGTTGTTGTTTTGTATTTTTCCAATTTGCACAATAGACTTTCCAAAATTGCCTGTGCCGATCTTTTGGATATTGCTAAAATATTTATATTCGTAGCATCTGATCTATTACTTGAAATAATCCACTTTTAAATTATCAGCAGCTTGTATATTGATTTAATTTTTTGAAAAAAAAAAAATTTATGTATAATTTTTTTTATGTAACTCTGAAAATCGTAACTTTATTTAAATCATAGTTTTCGATGATCGGATGAGTACAAATCAAATTTTTTGATTATATTTATCGAGAATTTTCTTCAGATAATTAAAATATAAATTCTACAAAGCAATACTAGTGATTGTCGCTCTTTAATAATTAGGAAAAAGTTCCTTAAAATGCCAGATTTTTTTTGTCTAACTTTATAAATAACCATAACCATACGACAATATATTTTGGGTTTCTTTTTGAGAAATTCGAATATGGTGAATGTATGTATAGATTCATGTTAATAATAAGTTTTATTCTTACGAGTGAAAAAGATGATTAAAAAACAAAATAATTAATAATTAATCTATGAAATCAATCAAACACTATATATTTTGTAGATCTAGAAATATAGTAGTGATGAATGCAAAATTTTAAAAAAGAATTTTTCTAACTCACCGCACCACTACTGCGCCTCATATGATATTATCGGTTAAAAAAAATTTAAATTAAGACAAATAAACATAATAAAGAAAAGCTTAGCATTTAAAAATTTTTACTCTTGCGTTGCAACAGATCTGAAATTTATTATAAAAAAGAAAAAATTCGACCGAAGGGAGCCAATTATACTTCATTAGAATTAAGAGTGTATAAAGGATTTCTTGAAGTAAATGAATGAGACTGTTGCGTGTTTACATGTAAATTTTGATCGAGTGGATTAATTGCACTAGTATTTCTATTATGATGTAAACTCTCTGATGCGGATTTAATTTTTTATTTCGTTAAATGTAAATAAAACATCTCAATCAATATTAAATCAAAAGCTTGCCTTCTATCATATTTGCATTAAGAAAAATATTAATAAGAAAGAAAAAAGATGGTTTTTTGAATAAAAGAAAGTTGGTTTGTGAATAAAAGAAGGAAAAAATTAGTTTTGTGAATACGAAGAGAGAGTATATTTTATTAAATTGATGATGTAATAATTACATAATTGTATCGTATCACGTGAACCGGTGCTCATCACCGTTAAAATTACCGGTGGCTTAGAAATTTGATTAACGTTACATGATTTACCGCGCGCATTTTTTTTTTTTTTTGCTTTTCTTCCAAGAATTTTGTTTCATTTCGTTATATACAAAATTTAATAAACCAAAATGTAAGCTTCCAACAATTCGAGTGAGTGGGTTAATTGGATTGAAAAATCTATCTCAAGAAGTATCAAACACTACGAATACAAACATTTTCAAGAAATTGGTAATGCGATTTTGGGAAAATTTATCGTGTCAAATTAAATTTATAATTATCAGCTTTTGTGGAATAACTTTTAATAAGGTAAATCTTTATAATAAAGTTTAAATATCGAATTTTGTTTTAAATCATGTGTATATATATTTATTTTATTTTAATTTTAATTTTTTTTTAAAACAAAAAAAAAGGTTGAAAAATATTGGTTTGGTTAATAATGGATATGTTGATGTGATTCACTTAGAAAATATTTGAAGAATAATTTTTGTAAATTGACATGGGAAGATAAATACAACTTTGCATTCCAGTTGGCTTGTGCTATGTCGTGTTTACATGAAGTAGGAATTGTGCATCGTGATTGCTTAATAGATATCTTTTTTGTTTATTTATTATTGCTGTTAACAATAATAATTAATGATTAATTTTTATATATTAGCATTCCGGAAATATATTAATTCGTCAAGGCATTAGCTGATTTTAGATTTTCGAAAAGAATAGAGTCAACAACAAATCAGTCGAAAGTTTTTAATGTAATTTCTTATGTTGATCCAAAAGGTTAATAAACGAAAAATGACAATACATCGTTACAATAAAACCTAAATGGAAAGAGTGATGTAAACAGTTTTGGCGTACTCTTATGGGAGACATCACGTGGTCGTCCTTCTTTTTATGTTAAAGGTGAAGGATATGACATTGATCTAACTATAGCAATTTCACAAGGACTTAGAGAAAGGATTGTTCCTGGTACATCTGAAGATTATGTAATCATTTATACCGGTAAATACATTATTTTTATTTAATTAAATTTATAACTTAATATCTTTCTAAGTAGATTTACGATCATAATATTTTATTCGTTTTTAGAATGTTGGGATAATGAGCCAGTTAAACGTCATCAATGAATCAAGTAGTTGATAGATTAAATTTAATTATTACAAAATCAAATATGATTAGAGAATGATCAAACGAATCAAATCTTCAATCATCAGAATTACAACTTTATTCTTCTGATATTAATAATACATCAAATGGAGAATTAACCCAAAATTTTGATCAGATGGATGTAGGAGAATTAGAATCAAATATGGAAGTATCAGATATTTTTTATGATAATACTATTGAAAGTTTAAGGGATTACGAAGATAAACAAGGACGACTTAATAAACGCCTTAGGATGATTACGCCGCAAATTAACTAAAACCTTTTGCAATTATGTCAGAATAAATAGCTTACCAACTTTACCCAACTCCTTAACGGAACTTGATTGCTCTAATACTCAAATAGTTATCCTACCAACTTTACCAACTCCTTAATGATACTTCGGTGTTGTAGCACAACTAGAATATTATAACATTAAATAATGATGTAACACCTTATTAAAATCTAGTAGGAATAAGTTAATCGTGACCAAGGGATTACCATTGAGTTTTGGACTTCTACCTAATGATAATCCGTATACGCAAAACTATAATAATTAAATATATTTTTAAAGACAATTAGACCAACTCTATAAAGTTAATATTATAGATATTTTTTAAGAGATATAATGAGGAAACGAAAAGTTGTTATCAAGTAGAGAAATCATTAGTATTTAATAAAATGCTAATTAACAAAACAAAACAAAAAAAGGTTTTCTTACATTTAGCGCTTTATGACAATAGTAATTTAAGAAAATAACGAAGTTTAATGAATGTAATTATGCCGATAGTTAGGATAAAATAATCCAATATAACAATCAGTGTTTTAAATTATGTGAAAGCTTTACTCCTTAAAAGAAAACCTAACGGTTATGTAAAAGGATAAACATTTAGGCAATAGTATATAGGAATTGTTCGATTTGGCAGGATAATTTGAATTATTTAAAGGTTCGGGTCTGATACTCATTAAAAATCGATAAATTTGGTAAACTACTTAGTGTTAGATCATCAAAGTTCCGTTAAGGAGATGGGTAAAGTGGGTAGAATAGTTATTGAAGTATAAGAGCAATTAAGTTCCGTTAAGGAGTTGAGTAAAGTTGGTAAGCTATTGTTGTATTCAGTTCTTTCGTTTATGTATTTATAAACAATTTAAATGTAAAAGGTTTTATTGAATAAAATGAATCTTGATTGACGCTAAATTTGTTTAATAATACCAATTAATCAGTGTTGCCTAACATTTTTGCAATGTCAATATATTAAACTAAATAATTGCCAATCACTAAAATTCTAATCAATTAATAAAAATTGAGTTATAAAATAATAAGAAATCGGGAATTAAAAATAAACGAAATTACAAAAATAAATTATAATGTTAAAACGGGAAAGCGAAAATACCACGAAGGGATAAAGGAAGGTTTTTAAGGTGTATATATGCAATTATAAGAAGGGCAAGCGTGGTATGTTGGCTGCTTAAAGATTTCCAGCTCATATTTGTAAAATAAATAATTATTAGAACAGCCTGGCTTCCTGCCAACCTACAACTAGGTCTACTCTCCAATAATTATTGTTTTCATTTTGAGTAAATTTTTGGTTTTGATAAAATCCTTTAAATGATGCAGCAGTTCCTGTATCTATTGTATGCATTGAATGTTCTTTCTAATCTCAAGCAAAAAAATCCTTATAACTTTGTATAAAGTCATTAAAGTCAGTCTTTTATATTTTGCTTAAATCCTAATATGAAATTTTCCCTTCTCTATTTCTTCATATTGATAGTAGATGCTTTAACAGATAAATTTCTATTTATTAACAGCTCTTTTTCAATTTGTATAACATCTTCATTATTTATATATTAATTGGAGAAATAAATTTGTTCTTATAAATCTACTTCTTCTTCATATTTTTCATCATTATTATTTATAATATTATTTTATATTTTAGTTTATTAGCAATATTTTATTTATTTTAATATAAGGTTAAGAATTCTTTCTAAATTTGATTATTATCTGAACTTCTTTTACCAGTCATTTTAAACAATAGTAATATAAGTATCAGCTTTTATTACAATATTATTAAAGAAAATAATATAATAAGCCTAGAATAACATAATTAAATACTGAGAAAAAAGAATATAATATAAAAAAATAATAAGAATAAAAGCAAAAGTATTAACAATGTGATTGAAAACTCTTGAAATGACATTAAAAAAGGTAAAAATGCATTAAAATACAGATTTTATTAAATAATTTGAGAAATACAAGTTAGTTCAGCTATTTTTCACAAGAAATAAGATAATATAATATCTTCAAAGTTATTTTAAGCTTTAAATTACTATTTATTTATCAACAAATGAACTGAAAATCTAATAAGTTTATAAACCTCCTAAAGTTTATGATTTTTATTTTTTCCTAAAGCAAATCTTTTATAAACATTCATTCACACTTAAGAAAAATTTGATGGTTTGATTCAAAGAAATTAATAATAATTTTTTAAGATTAAAATTTCAGTTGTAGATCTTCTTAAATTTAAACTTCTTTTTGAACTTTTTTTTGATAAAAACCTTTAGTTTGATGAAGAATAAAAAGCAAAGTATTAATTATTATTATAATCAATTAAAAAAAGTCAAATATACTATTTATAGTTCATCTATGTAATATGAATAAGTTGTATATATTTATTTATACTAGCTAAGCTAATGAGTACATATATTATTTTCTCTATTATCTTTTAATTTAAAACTATTTATAGGTATACCTATCTTACCTTAAAAAATTCTTTCATTCTTACTCTCTTTAATATATAATTCTTTACATTTGTTAAAAGGATATTTCTTTTTATTAACACATGTTATATTAAAAATATTAAAGTTTAAATTCTTTTAATAATTTGAAAAAAGAATTAAAAATTAGTGAAAAAATAGATAAGATTTTAGATAAGATATTTATAAAAAAAAAATACAATTGTAAAGATTTCTTAAGATCATAAGAATGCTCCTTTTATAAAAAATAAACAAAAATTATTAGTTCAAAATTATTATTGATCATTACATAAAAATTTATAAAATAAAATTTATTTAAAATTAGTATAATAGATTAAAATTACTAAAATTAGATAATCATATAATATTCATATAATACATTTTTAATCAAATTTCTTTATTTAGTACAAATTTAAAAAATTTTATTGAGTTATATAATTTAAATATTGAATAAAATATATGCAAAGTAATCAAAAAATTAGTTTACTTAAAAAAGAAATGACTTATAATATTTGCGTAATTTATGCATTAAAATAATATTAAATAATATAATTATAATCAAGTTAATTTTATATTTATTTTCTATTAATAGATTCTTAAATATTAAATAGATTAAAAATTAAATATACAGTTAAATTAGTAAAGGAATAATATTATCCATAAATTTTAATGAATATTCTAATATAGAAAGATTAAGTATATTATCCTTTTAATTATTTTATTTACAAATTTGTAGACAATTTTATTTATTAATTACAATTCTTTTTAATTATATTATTAAAAAAAATTAATACTTTTATAATAAATTTTATAATATTTTCTAAGTAAAAATTAAAAAAAATGGTAATTAACTAATGATTTTTTAAAGATAAATAAATAATAAATTATTATAAAAAGAATTAAATTTTAAATTCATATATCTTACTATTTATTAATCTCTAAAATATAAAATACTACCATTTAATGTGATAAATCCAATAATTAAATTTTATATTTTTGTAATTATTAGATAATAAATTATTTTTTATATTTATTAGATACAAAATATTTTAAGTTTTCTAAAATATTTTAAAAATAATTTTATATTTACAGTTTAAGAGATAAGTGAAAATCAAATTAATATACTTAAGTTATATATAATTTCTAATAAAAAAAATAATAGTAAAAATGCTGAATTTTTTTTTTATCATAGCATTATTATTTTTGTTTATATTATCAAATCAAAAATAAATATGTTATATAGTCAAAATTGATTCTTTTAACTAGAAAAGTGATTTAAATTGCACTTTATAAAATATTCAAATATTTTTAAAGAATATCATCCAAAATAAGTTTTTCTTAATCTTTATATAGCTTAAACTTGAATTCTATTAAAAATATATGGACTATTTTATAGGAAAAGATATAATAAAGATTAAGAATTGTTTGCAAAAAATAAAATAATCTTTTGTGAGATTTTCTTAATAAAATTTGGCAAAGATAGAATAATCTATATTATGATATATTTACTTAAAATTTCATTAGTATACTCAATCAGATTAAAATATATATTAATATAGAAAGAAATTATACAAATTATTAATCAAATAATAAAAAATGTTATATTAATATCAATTTTTTAAATAATAAGAAATTTTGAATTTTAAAATTTTAATTTATATATATTATTTAAAAATATGTCTATCATTCTTTTTATTAGAAACTTTAATATATATATTATTTAAAAATGAAATGATCAATAAAGTGTACAATTTTAATTATAATTACTAGCCTAATTAAAAGAATCATCAAAGAAAAATAATATTAAAAAATAAGCAACAAAAAGAAAATTTCTAACTATTATTCAGATTATAGTTAACTCTTGTTATAACGAATTTTTTAAACAAATATAATAAAAATACTCTTGTTATAGCGAATTGGCCAATCAAATCTC